TATGCCTACCGCTATCTTTTCAAAGTCTCCAACAATGAGGTGGAGTACGAGGCCCTGCTGTCTGGGCTACGACTGGCAGCCGCCATGGGAGCAGAGTGGATAACGGTGAAATGTGACTCCCACCTGGTGGTTTCCCAGGTCAAAGGTGAGTTCGGAGCGAAGGAAGAAAGAATGATGAAGTACTGAGATGTTGTTCGGGAGTGGCTCGGGTTCTTCAAGCAAGCAGAGTTGATCTGCATCCCGAGAAATCAAAACTCGAATGCAGACCTCCTCTCAAAACTATCCCAGGGTCTACCTGAACACATTTCAAAAATCGCACGCATTGAAGAGATGACGACCTCAAGTATAACAGCATCACCGTCCATCGAGGTCCTTCTCCTGCAACCGGTCGCCTGGTGCTGGGCGGATGACCTCCTGCGCTAAATAGCCGACGGGACGCTCCCCGAGAAAGAAGAGGAAGCAAGGCTAGTTCGACGACGGGCTCCGAGCTACGTTGTCTTGGATGGGTAGCTATACAAGAGGTCCTACAATGGGACCCTACTAAAGTGTTTGCGCCCACATGAGGCAGACATGATCGTTTCCGAGCTCCATGGCGGCGTGTGCTCCGCCCACCAGGGGGCATGCACGATAGCTAGGAAGGTCGTCCTCCAAGGGTACTTTTGGCCGACAATAATGAAGGATTGCGCTGACTATGCAAGGAAATGTGAGACATGTCAGAAATTCTGGAAGAGCCCTGGCCGGCCAGCCACGATGTACACACCGATCAGCACCGCCCTTCCATTCACAAGATGGGGTGTCGACCAGGTCGATCCCCTGCCAACCGTGTCGGGAAACCGAAAGATCGTCATCGTCGCGGTGGACTACTTTACGAAGTGGGTGGAGGCCGAGCCACTCGCCAGCATCACGCATCTTCAATGTAAGAAATTCATATGGAAGAATAATTTTTTTGCCGGTTTGGGGTTCCCCTCCAAATAATCTCTGACAACGGAAGGCAGTTTGACTGCGAAGCCTTCCGGCAGTTCTGCGCAGCGTGGGGCGTAGAATCCAGTCGAGTTGCGGTTTACTACCCTCAAGAAAATGGACAGGTGGAGAACACCAACCGGACGATCGTCGATGGGCTGCAAAAGAAATTGGAGTCCCTCGGGACTGCCTGGGTGGAGGAGTTGAACAATATACTCTGGACCTTCAGAACAACCCCAAGGAAGGCAACCGGAGAGACCCCCTTTGCCTTGTGTTATGGCTTTGAGGCGAGGGCACCGTTCGAGGTCGTAGTCCTCAGCCGACGGATGGAAGAGTTTGAACCAGCCAGTAATGAGGAGAGGCTCCGAGCCGAACTCCACTTCATCGAGGAAAGAAGAGACCGTGCCTTTGTCAAAGTGGAGAATTACCGACGGCAAGTCAAGGCATACCAGGACAGCCGAGCCCGGCCCCAGAGTTTTGACGTTGGTGACTACGTCTTGAGGCGTAGGAAGGCGAGCAAGCCGACGGAGGGAGGTAAGCTTTCCATCAAATGGGAAGGCCCTTACGTGGTTGACACCGTGATCGGCCCTGGAACATACAAGTGGAAGACAACAACAGACCGACTAGTAGATCGCGTCTGGAACGCCGAGCACCTGATGAAGTTTTACCAGTAGAAAATCGAAACTTTACTTTTCTTTGTAAACTCCCGTGCTCCGAGCACGGGATTACAATTTGTAATTCTTCATGTGGTCCGCCCACATCATGAATTCAATATATTTCGCTAGCGATATTTTGTCTTCAAAAGAGGTTCGACCTCACTTAGCAATAATGGGCAGCGGCACAAAAAAAAACAAAAAAAAGAAAAAAAAGGTACTATGCCCCCCCTCGGTGTTTGGCCGACATCGGTGAGGCTCTTGAACTGAAAATAGCCAAGCGATTTTTGAGAATCTGGGCAATTTTCTAAAGTAAAGATCCAGGCGCGACAGTCGAGGCGACAGTAGGGCTGACCTCCGGGTCGAGGGCGCTCAGGATGCTGACCTCTGGGTCCTTTCGAGTGCTCGCCGCCTAACATCGCTGGTCAAGCAGCTCGCGCTCTCGCCATCCCTGAGTTGGCGGTGCGGGTCCATTCTGGTGGATCATGCAGGGTCCGCCCCTGTTGTTAGGCTATCCCTGCGGGAGTAACCAGATTATTCGCCATGTCCGGGCAAACTGGAAGGGTTAAAGTGACAGTAGGACTGACCCCCGGGTCATGAACGTTCAGGATACCGACCTCAGGGTCCTCCTCGTAGGTTCAATGTCCGACCTTGTTGGCCGAACAAGTCGCGTACTTGTTGATTCCATATCGACAGCGAACAGATCACTTCTATCCGACTAGGAGGGGCACAGATAGGCTCGGCCACGCCAACCTAACCGCCCCCGGGAGCTTAGAGAAGCCGGATCCCCGAATAAATTGCTAAGTATTCGTAATGCAAAGTAGAGAAAAGGAGACATATGAGTTCAAAATCAAACATCCATTCGAAACACATAGCATTCAAGTGGAAAACAAAGGAAATACAAAATACAGGGTCATGGTCGGGCGAACCCATTGCCATCAAGTAGAATGATCTAGTCAAAATCGGCGATCACTTCCTGGGAGTAGCCAAGAACCTCAATAAGCTCTCTCAGAATCCAGAGTGCAGTGCCGTCCTCACCATGGTCGTTACCCTCCCGTCAGGTGGTCACCCAGGGACCTGGGACTCTCCAATTGCCTCTTTGTCTGCTCCCGCGAGTAAGTGCTTTATTTCGCCGTGTTTGAAGCTCAACTCAGATACTGGTTTCTAGGCGTTCTCTTCTTCTTTCAAGGATCCCTTCGTGGCTGCCCTAGTTTTGTGGACCTTGTCCTAAAATTTTCCTGGAGGCAGTTGGCAGCCCGGAGTGTGACACCGCACCCGGATGTACTTGAATTTGAAATTCGGTATGTATTTGAATTTTTCTAACAAATGATTTCGTGTAAAGGAATGATGTATTTAATTAATAAGTGATTAATTAAATTATTTATCGGTTCCATAATATTGAGAATGGGCTACCAAATATTTAGTTGGGTCGTCGTAATAATTATAGAAGCCCAATAAAATGCCAACTAAAGTTGAGGAAAACGTTTGGGCCAACCCGGTGCTATTTTGACCCAGCCTGCCAGAAATAGCAGGTATAAGGGTGGAGGGCTTCCCACACTTTAATTGAGGGTAGCCCGTACATTATAAAGTCCGAGTAAAATGGAGAGGAGCCTAAATAATATATTGGGTCGGATTAAATCAAGGAAGCAGCCCACGAACCGAACCCAACAAAACCGGCCCAAGTTTCTAAAAATAGATAGATAAGGGAAGGGGTCTCCTTATCCTCTCATTTTGAGAGGTTGTGCGTAAGACACAAAAGGAGGGGAGGCTTGAGAGCTCCATACGCACACCACAAAGAATCAAGAAGAAAGGGAGTCAAGAAGAGAAGGAAATCCAATAGAAAGCAAAGTCTAACGGTAAGAACCTCGTAGCTCCGGTTCTTGTTCCTTCTTTTTATAAAGTTTCATATATGATTTTATAAGAATCATATGATGGATTATAGGGGATGTTCTACACGTTTAAATGTGTAGAAAAATGATATAAAGTGTTGGTATTTAACATAGAAGAGTTGTGGAATCGATAGGAATCGAAATCGCTGGAAACCGCCATTGTTAGGAGCTGTTTTCGTGCTGCAGGACCCGAAAGCCGGGCAGCTTTTGCAAAAGCCAGGCGGCTTTTGCCCTCTGCCAGCCAAGCCCATTTCGGATCATTCCCGATCGAAGGTTTAACGATGGGGCTTCAATAGGAAGGCTTACTGGGCATATTTAAGGTGAGGATGGCTGACTATATTGCTTATAATTAGTGAGTTAATTTCATAAGATTGTCTAAGGTATTAAAAGTGATTTTCATGGATTATTAATGAGTAATAATGCTTAAATGAAGATACTATTGATATGAGTAAATGAAGCATGATATACAAATTTAGAATAAATTGTGTATGATTATGTGACATGAAGGGAATGGCATGATAATGGAATTAACTATGTAAATATTGTGATAAAATATACTTTTACTTCATGTATGAAATTCATGAATGGATAAAAATGATATTTTTGATATTGGATCAAATTATATTTGGATTGGAAAATCAATTGAAAGGAAATGTCAATTTGAATTAAGAACTTGATATGTTCTAAGACTACCCTACTGGTATTAAAATACTAGTCGGGAGAATAATATAATGGAATTAATCCTAAGGGATAGGATTGTGAATAGATTTGCCTGAAGTAGTCTTAAGAGATACTTTAAGGTTGAATTGTATGAACACTAAGGTGTGTTAGGGGTAAGCCTAAAGGCTACCCAAGTGGATTGATTCTAGGCATAGGATTTGCTTGAGAATTGGACTATGAAAATGAATTAGAGTCAGACTCTAGGATTGCATGGAAATGTAGTTGGGCCGAGCCCTTGCCATGTAATGTGATTAGCATGGAAACGTAGTTGGGCCGAGCCCTTGCCATGTATTTGTGAACTTCGTGGAAACGTAGTTGGGCCGAGCCCTTGTCACGAAGTTATGGTTATTATGGAAACGTAGTTGGGCCGAGCCCTTGCCATATAATTTTAATGTGTTAAATTGAGTTGAAGGGTTGTATAGAAATGTAGTTGGGCCGAGCCCTTGCTATATCATCGGGACTCGAGGGAACCCTACGGGGTGGTCGTGACTTGTAGTCACGGGGAATTAAAATGGTGAATTCTAGATGAATATGGGCCCACGGGCCGACTACTTGATTTTATATAAAGTAAGTATATTTTAAAAAGGGGTAACCGAGAGTTATGGCCTATGATAAAATATCACCCTAGATTGAGGGTCTTTGAAATTGAAACATTGATTATACTTAGTATAGTTGTCATTGTACTTGTCAAATGCTTCCAAGTACTGACCTCCCCTTCACGGGGGAGGCCACCTCACAGTTTCAGGTAGGAGCTGAGCTTGCTACCATTGCATGTGGCCTCGGGAAGATTCTAGGAGAGAAGACGTGGTTCGTGCTTCCTCCGTTTCTATTTTAAAACAATTATAATAATGCTCATGGATACTATCTTTCTGAATAATTATTTTGGGGGCTTGTATGCCTAATTATGCCAAGTGTGGCTTGAACATTTGCCATATTGTTTCCACTGCTTTAATGAATGTTTTTACATTATGTTTGTTTATGGATGTACTATGTGTGAATGATATTCCAGACACCTTGTATAGTATAAATGTGTTGAACTGCGGTTGACTATTCGTACTGTACGGCAGGTTGTTGACGTGTCCGGGTAGGTCCGGGGCGTGACATGGGGTGCCCCAAAATCCTAAATAAACCCTGCAAACAGAAAAAAATGCGGTTAGAAAATCAGGTGAATGGGAAACAAACACAGAGGTGTGGTCACCCGTAACCAAATAACCATTAGGAGCTAGCCCTAAAAAACAGTAACTCGTCAGGCTGAGTCTGCCCGGGGTAGCACCAACCTGTCGTCCACGCATACCGCCTGCACGCGTGGTTTTCCCTAGGGTCACGGCCGACCTTTGCCGACCCACAACGGCCTACCGGCCACGCCTATGCCGTTGGTCAACCGCAAGGAGCCGTCTGACCAGGAGGATTCACTATGAGTCGAGATCGTCACAGACCTGCATCATCTACCCGGCCAGGAGCGTCCTCGCTGAGTAGCATCGCTTGCTCAAAGAATTCGTAGCCAGCCTCAGGTTTCTGCCGCCTACCTGCAGTCTGCAGACTACCTGGTGAAGCTTGGCCAACCGAAGAAGAACAGATGTGGACCTCACAGTTGCACTGCCGGCCTGGAAGCTGGTACCGCAGGGGAGTTTCCGTCGACTGGGGGTTGCATCGTCTGAAGCCATCACTGCAGGCTGCAGCCCATTGCAGCCTAAGTTCGTCGCCACCGCCGCCTGGGTCTGTCGTCGCCGCCTCGAGCCTGGATGCTGCCACAATTCAGAATGTACAGGGCTACCCATCTGCGAGCGACGCTTGACCTGGGGGTAATGAGTGATGTTCCACTCGAGTTCATCCTGAGGAATCATGTCAGCATCGGCCGGCCTGCTTGGCCACCTAGAGGAAGGACGATATGGGATCTGATCTTGAGGAGCTGCCGAGCCGCTCAGGTCCGCCGCCATCCAACGCCGGAGTCTGACGGATTGGGAAGCTGCCGATCTAGGGGTCGATCAACCAGCCAGTTGACTGCGGCGCTGGGCTAGGGAGACGCGAGGAAGAAGACACACGCAATTTCCAGGAGAGAGGAAAAAGAAACGAAAGGAAAGAAAAGAAAAGGAAAGAAAAAAGAAGGAAAGAAAAGGAAAGGAGAGAAAAAAGAAGGAAAGAAAAGAAAGGGAAAGAAAAAGGAAGGAAAGAAAAGAAAAGGAAGGAAAAATAAAATAAAGTCCCAAAATAATTTACGAAATAATAATAATGAATTTCAGGATTTTTTGAAGCTGACCTGGATCCTGAAGTTTGGGAGAAAGCTTGCTGCTGGAATGCTAGAACGCTAAGGGAATTAATTTGGAGCCTTTTAAAGTTGGGCGCCTTATTTAAAATTTGGAAATCTCCCTAAATCGTGGGATTGAAAAAATCCACAATTATGGCTCCCTGACATGTGAATATGTTTTCATTGGTAGCTGACTTGAACTACCCCCTCTTAGCCGACTCTACTACTCGACTAAGGGAATGGGGGGCTTGTGATGGGGTTATGGGAATAGGCCCAGAGCCTAATCGGCCCATGCCCCGAACTTGGACCAGCAGGCCCAAGCCCAGCAACCCAGAGCTCGAGTCGGCCCAACCGATCAGGCCAATCAAGGAGCGGAAGCCCAAGAGAGCCTGTCGACCAGCCCAACGGGGAGCCTGTCCTCCAGCCCGGCCAGCGGGGATCCTGCTTTCGAGCCCAGCGGAGAGCCTGTCTACCGGCCCAACCGGAAGCCCAAGAGAACCTGCCTTCCAGCCCAGTGGGGAGCCTGTCTTCCAGCCTAGCCAGGAGCCTGCCGACCAGGCCAGCTGGGAGCCTGCGGTCCAGCCCAGGTGGGAGCCTGCCTTCCAGTCTAGCTAGCAGCCTGCCTCCAGCCCAACGGGGAGCCTGCCTTCCAGCCTACCCGGAAGCCTGCCTCCAGTCCGGTCAGACGCCATCCTCCAGCCTAGCGGGGAGCCCACCGTCCAGTCCAGCAGGAGGGAGCTCAAGCGTCCAGCCTGCCGGCCAGGCTAACCTGCCAGCCAGGAACTATAACGGCCAAAGTAATTAAGGCGTGACTTAGTTATGTATTTAATTCCGTATTAATGTTGTAATTAAAACGGCCAAAATACTAATGACTAACTAATTACAACATTAATACGGAATTAAAACGGCCAAAATACTAATGACTAACTAATTACAACATTAATACGGAATTAAATACATAATTAAGTCACATATTAATTACTTTGGCCGTTATAGTTCCTAGCTGGCAGGTTAGCCTGGCTGGCAGGCTGGACGCTTGAGCTCCCTCCTGCTGGACTGGATGGTGGGCTCCCCGCTAGGCTGGAGGAAGACTTCTGACCGGGTCGGAGGCAGGCTCCCAGGTAGGCTGGAAGGCAGGCTCCCCGTTGGGTTGGAGGCAGGCTGCTCGCCGGACTGGAAGGCAGGCTCCCCGTTGGCCGGGCTGGAGGGCAGGCTCCCAGCTGGGCTGGTCGGCAGGCTTCCCACTGGGCTGGGAGGCAGGCTCTCCGCTGGGCTGGAAGGCAAGCTCCCCGTTGGCCGGGCTGGAGGGCAGGTTCCCCGCTGGGCCGGTCGACAGGCTTTCTTGGGCTTCCGCTCCTTGATTGGCCTGATCGGTTGGGCCGACTCGAGCTCTAGGTTGCTGGGCTTGGGCCTGCTGATCCAAGTTCGGGGCCTGGGCTGATTACGCTCTGGGCCTAGTCCCATAACCCAATCACGAGCCCCCCATTGCCTTAGTCGAGTAGTAGACTCAGCTAAGAGAGAGTAGTTCAAGTCAACTGCTAATTAAAAAGTATTCACATATCAAGGAACCATAATTGTGGATTCTGTCAATCCCATAATTTATGGAGATTTCCAAATTTTGAATAAGGCGCCTAGCTTTAAAAAGGCTCCGAATAAATTCCCTCAGCGTTTTAGCATTCCAACAACAAGCTTTCTCCCAGACTTCAGGATCCAGTTCAGCTTCAAAAAATCCCCGAAATTCATTATTATTATTTCAAAAATTATTTTCGGACTTTATTTTATTATTCCTTCCTTTTCTTTTATTTTCTTTTCGTTCTTTCTTTTTTTTTCTTTCCTTTTCTTTTTTTTTTCCTTCTTTTTTTTCTTTCCTTTTCTTTTCTTTTCCTTTCTTTCCTTTTTTCTTTCTTTCCTTTTCTCTTTCCCGGTTTTTTGCGTGCGTCCTCCATGCGTCGCCCCAGCGCCGCAGCAAACCCGCCGAACTGACTGACTGCCACTTCCCTTCCGACGGCTCTACTGGGTCGCCCCCGCCGTGCTAGGCGGCTATCCAATGCTCTCCACCGCTGGCTGGCGCCGCCCTGGGAGTCCGGCAAATCTGGCCGGCCAGTCTGGACTCCTACCACGTCCGGCTAGTGCACCTCGCATGGGTCGGAGGCCACCCCTGCTGGTCAACGTCTCCCAAAGTTTGGCGTCCCGGCGGCTGGGTGCCCCACTTGTCCGGCGTTCAGGTCGTCCGGAGAGCCGCCACCTTGTTCTTCTGCCGCCGGTCGCTACCGGCCGCCGCCTAGGAATCTGCTGGAAAAGCGTCCAGGTGGAGCTTAGGGTCCAGGTTGAGTGGCATCGTCTCTCTTTTGGTCGGCAAAGCTGCTGGGGCATACAGGTAGCCGCCAGCGTTCTTCCTCCTTGGATTGGCGGAAATCCATGCATACGTAGGATAGGCAGTGATGATGACCAGATCCACCTTACTATCGGTTGCCGGCGGTGTCGGTCCCCCCCCCCCCCCCATTTGGGCGATGGGCCAGACTGGATTTTCTTTCCCCCAAGGTTCCGCGTTGCCCAGCGTTTGATGCTTGGTTCTTTTCCTTCTATGTTTTGTCTTTGCAGGTTTGACTTTCTCCCAGAGATGGCTCCAGCTAGGCGGACCACTACTGCTGAGGGTCGGCAACTGAGTGTTCCAGATAGAGCACGGGCACAACATGTGGTCATGTCAGATTCCGACGATGACTCTGGTGCTCGGGAGGACCCGAATCTTTGGTGGGACCTTGATAATAACGAGATAGCGAACCTCCCCCCTCGTATCCAAGATGAGGACCTTGCCGTTGCATACAATTTGATTGGCCATGATTGTTTGTTGGAATCTCCGGGGGCTACTGACAAATTGAGCAATCCACCAACTCCCTACTTCGGGGTCCATATCCGCTCTCTGGAGTTAGGGATGGTCGTGCCACTGCACCCCTTCCTGGTTCGGTTCCTTCCCTTTCTGGGTGTGGCCCCTGGTCAATTGGCTCCGGCGGCTCACATGTTCGTTGCAGCTTTTGTGGTGCGGTGTGAGGATGTGGGCCTCACACCCACGATTGATCTGTTTTTCAGCTGCTTCCAGTGGCGTGCTTCTAGCTTTTCGCCTTACTCTCCCAGAGGCCGGTGAGCAAACTGTTTCGGTCGGGTTACCCCGTTCAGGGAAGGGGTGAAAGAAGAGATGGATATGGGTATCCGACTCCAACCTCCCGTCACCTCTGCCTTAGTGGGTTGAACGGGTTCGGAAATGTGACTGGGTCGCTCTCTCCCCTGGTCTCAAGTCCTCCATCGAGATATTGTCCGCAGGCGGTCCCCACTCCATCAACTCATATTTAGGTGATTGTCACCTCCGTGGTCTATGTTTACTACTTTGTATTTTATTCTGCTTATCCTCACATTTTTCTTCCGCAGTTGTGCCTGAGAAGCTCGTTGTTGAGGCGGAATCCGATGAAGAGGAGGAGCCTCAACAAGTCATCGTTCCTGTGGCAGCAACAGCTGCAAAGGGGAAAGGGAACGGAGCCCCCCCTCCAAGAAGGGTGAGAGTTACCTTCGGGCCTCGGCCAACTACGCCAGTGCAGGAGAAGCACAAGGGCGGACTCGTCGACCTGCTAGTCAAATTGGATGGGTCCGATGAGGAGGAGGAGCCCTGCCCAGCCATTGCTGATGTGGCCCCTAAGATTGTTGCGTGGAAAGAGCGTGGAGCCTCCTCCCTGGGACGAGTGGAACGAGTCTCAAAGAAGGCAAAGGTCGCCCCCAAGTTTCATTCCGCCGAGCAGGTACATGAGGGTGCAGATGAGAGGATGGCCGAACGGATCAGCCATGACACCCAACATACAGTTACTTACGCCTTCCCATCTTCGAGTGCCTCGATTAT